TTTTTTGGTCGAGATTTTGTATCCTAATGGCTAATGAACATACCCCAAACTCCATACACTAAATTATTCTCAGATTTGAAGCCGAAATCTATGAAAAAAGGCACTCAGAAAAATTGAAAAATTGATAAATTACCCCAAATTGCTTAACACGATTTTATCTCAGGAACTATAAGTTCAAATGAGCTGAAATTTCCAGGGATTGTAGTCCTTTGAAAAAGATAAAATTCAGTGAAAGTTTCAGCTTTCTATCTATAATAGATAACAAGTTATGACCTTTCAAAGTTTTCCAAAATCTAAATCATAAGGTAAGGTACCTTCTTACTAAAACGATGAAATTTCAAATTTTTTTTGGTCGAGATTTTGTATCCTAATGGCTAATGAACATACCCCAAACTCCATACACTAAATTATTCTCAGATTTGAAGCCGAAATCTATGAAAAAAGGCACTCAGAAAAATTGAAAAATTGATAAATTACCCCAAATTGCTTAACACGATTTTATCTCAGGAACTATAAGTGCAAATGAGCTGAAATTTCCAGGGATTGTAGTCCTTTGAAAAAGATAAAATTCAGTGAAAGTTTCAGCTTTCTATCTATAATAGATAACAAGTTATGACCTTTCAAAGTTTTCCAAAATCTAAATCATAAGGTAGGTACCTTCTTACTAAAACGATGAAATTTCAATTTTTTTTTTGTCGAGATTTTGTATCCTAATGGCTAATGAACATACCTCAAACTCCATACACTAAATTATTCTCAGATTTGAAGCCGAAATCTATGACACTCAGAAAAATTGAAAAATTGAGAAATCATCCCGAATTGCCTAACACGATTTTATCTCAGGACAAATAAGATTCACTAAAAATTTCGCTATGATAAAACCAGAGCTGTGATTTTTCAAAGTTGTCATTAAATTTAATTTCAATTTTAATGTTGGGGCCATAATACACCAATGATTAGCAACTATCTTTTCATATCCCTATTTTCAAACTTTATATAATTTTTATTACTAAATAATGATAAAAGATACAGGTGTAAATTCATCTGACCGCGATAGCAACACAAAAAAAAGGTGTTAAATATCTTATACAGTAAAAAATTTTACTATCATCGGACTCCATCTATAATTAAAAAATGATGATGTTTTTCCAGTACAAAATGGTTTTTGTCACGCGAAGAAAAAAGAAGTTACTTATTATGTAAGAAAATGAATATTTATCGTGAAGCATTTTTAATTAACAGCCTGATTCAGCGAAAGATAATAATGTAATAATAATCTGCAAAACAAAGCAAAATATTGAATTACACTTGCAAGAATCATTACATAAAATCTGACTTAAAAAATCTCAAAACTCGTTTCGTAGGCACCACCTGCAAGTACCTTAAAAATAAAAGGACAGCAGGTGGAAGAGAATTTTTGATTTAACCCTACAAATAAAATCTGATCTGATACACGTTGGTGTGGTTGAATTTCTAGGGTTTCTTGGTGGTTTCTTTTGCAATATTACCAAACCAAACAGGCATTACTTTTAATTAATTTTGACGATAATATGACTGTATAATGTGTCAGGTTATCAGGCATCGATTTCTTTACCAGAAGAGTAATTTAGAAAGATGTCAGTCAAGCATGTTATTAAAGGAAACAAGAAAAAACTCTATCAAAAAGAAAAACCATTTTCAAGATTCGTTTTTGCTGGTTAAAATGTAGTTTTTGACCATTAATTTTTGGTTGAGTCCACCACATTTTTAATTGAAAATTTCAATCATAATCTTATACTTTTGACTAGTCATTGTCACACTAAATCATAGAATAATAATGAATGGTTCTTTGAAGGATTTGAACAAACCTTAAGTTTCAAAAAGAAATTAACTTCCTGTTAAATCTTTACACGACTTGATTATATGCAAAAAGTTTTATGTTTCCGTACCTACTAGGAGGTCCTAAGAACCAACACATTTCAACAAGAAAACATTGTAATAAACAGTAAAAACCTAATCACCATACGTGACGTTTTATGTCCCAACACATAAACAATTTTCTATAAAGGCATTTGAATAATCAAAAAACCGTTTTGTTACTCAACCAAATGCAAAAGCAATTTGTTCCGGCCCCGATTTATATATTATAATGTATAAATACAATAAATTGTTTTAATTTGAAAATTAAATCAATTGTTGGCCTTGGAAAATGCCAGACTCCAGACTGGCGTATATCCGAAATACGTTTCCGTTCTCGTGTTTGCAGGGGGTCAAAACCGGGTGCAACACACGCAGTGTAATTAAAAAAAAAACAGAAAAAGGAAGAGTTCCCGCACCAGGCGGCATAGAATGAGTCACTTTTACAGCTCGGCGTCGGGACGCTTCTATTTTTGGGACAGGAATAAAGCGAGGGGAGTGAAGGATGATGGACAAATTTATCACAAACAGATTTTTAAGGAAATATTCACATTTTTATGTGTAGGTATCGTGGAAATGTTTATTTGCAATGTTTGGAAAAAGAACACATTTACTTCTCATGAAAAACATGGGGTCCTTGTTGAGAAAATTGACAAAAAAAGCAAACTATCTAAATACCTACACGAAGAGTTTATCCGCACTACGTCACAACTTGAATTTTGACAGTGTTGCCACTCATTGTCTCGCTTATTCTAAAATGTTGGCAAAATACCAAAAATTGATTACTCATACACAATTTAAAACAATTCTAATTTTTTTTTTTCACGATGCACTACATTTAATCACAACTGGCAACAACGCAATCAAAGCATGACTTTTATCTGGATTCTGGAATTTCTCCTGGAAAAGTGTTATACTTCATAGAGCTGAACATTTTTTAAGGTATTCAGCAAGCTTTTGGATCAAGGAAAATTTGATTATGATTTTTTAAATTTGAAAGACATACTGAGTGATCTCTATGCCTATCCTGATTTTTTTCCTGGAAAGTTAACATACTTGATAGTAATAACTATATGAGGGTCGGTTTCAGTGTTTGAAGGAATACCAAAGAGAAGTGATGTACTGTTTTTTAAAATAATTTTAATCTGTTTTATGCTCATTTGTCACTGCATGTGTTGGTCCCTAGTTTTATTTTGTTTGTCAACCCGTGGACATCCAGGGTTCTTGTAAATTTATTGGAAAACTTCGCTAGGTGAGTGTGCTGTTTCAAAAAGTTTCAAAATTTTCTCCTCAACAGTTCTTTAGAAAAATATAAAAATGCAAGAGGATGTTTCTATTTATATTAATTTCATTGATCATTATTATAGTCTAAGCCCAAGAACTGTTCATGTGGTTGTTGAATCCATTTGAAATTCTAGTATAATAGACTTCTAACCTTCCTCTTTCTATACTTAGAGTTTCAAAATGTTCTCCTCAACACTTCTTTGGAAAAATATAAAAATGCAAAAGGATGTTCCTATTTGTATTAATTTTATTAGTCATTTTTCATAGTCTAAGCCCAAGATATAACTGTTCATATTGTTGTGATGTTAATTAACTTATGTTCCAATTCTTCAGAATGTCGTTCCATAATTTTCATTCTCAGCCCAGTTTTTCTAAATGTGCTAGCGATTGACTCATCGTATTCTTTCTAGAGTTTTGGCTTATTTCTATTAATAATCCTGAAAGTCCTTGGATCATTCTCATTAATTTTCCTCTCACATTGTCTTCAGATTGCTTCACTTACTTCAATTTTTCCATTGTGGCCACATTACAACACCATGATAATGCAGATCCAACAAAGTCCAGAGCACGTTTTTCTCTGGAAATTGTCTTCTTCTCTTCTCTCATTAACTGGGTTCTCATTTGATAAATTAAATTCATTTAGAAATGCTTTAGGCAAACTATCAATTTGGTTGACTATTGAACATTCCTTGTCTTGACTATTACCTTCACATTTTCCTATTAGTTTTCTTCCTTCTGTCAATAATTTCTTTTCGGCTCTTCAATTGAAATTCTAGTATAATGGGCTTCCAACCTTCCTGTTTCTATACTGAAAGTTTCAGAATGTTCTCATCAGCAGTTTTTTGAAGAAATATAAGAGTGCATTTGGATGTTCCTATGTATATTAATTTCATTGGTCATTTTCATAGTCTAAGCATAAGAATTTTTTATGTGGTTGTCAGATCCATTTGAAATTCTAGTATAATGGGCTTCTAACCTTCCTCTTTCTATACTGAAAGTTTCAAAATGTTCTCCTCAACAGTTTTTTGGAAAAATATAAGAGTGCAAGAGGATGTTCCCATTTATATTAATTTTATTAATCATTTTCATATTCTAAGCCCAATAACTTCTCATGTGGTTATTAGATCCTTTTGAAATTCTAGTAAAATGGCCTTCTAACCTTCCTTTTTCTATACTGAAAGTTTCAAAATGTTCTCCTCAATAGTTTTTTGGAAAAATATAAAAGTCCAAAAGAATGTTCCCATTTATATTAATTTTATTGGTCATTTTCATAGTCTAAGCCCAATAACTTCCTATGTGGTTGTTGGAACCATTTAAAATTTGAGTATAATGGACTTCTAACCGTCCTTTTTCTATACTGAAAGTTTCAAATTGTTCTCCTCGATAGTTCTTTGGAAAAGTATAAGAGTGCAAGAGGATGTTTCCATTTATATTAATTTTATTGGTCATTTTCATAGTCTAAGCCCAAGAACTTTTCATGTGGTTGTTAGATTTATATGAAATTCTAGTATAATGGCCTTCTTACCTTCCTTTTTCTATACTGAAAGTTTCAAGTTCTCCTCAACAGTTCTTTAGAAAAGTATAAAAGTGCAAGAAGATGTTCCTATTTATATTATTTTATTGGTCATTTTCATAGTCTTAGCCCAAGAACTTCTCATGTGGTTATTAGATCCATTTGAAATTCTCGTATAATGGACTTCCGACCGTCCTTTTTCTATACTAAAAGTTTCAAAATGTTCTCTTCAACAGGTCTTTGGAAAAATATAAGAGTGCAAGAGGATGTTCCCATTTATATTAATTTTATTGGTCATTTTCATAGTCTAAGTCCAAGAACTTTTCATGTGGTTATTAGATCCATTTGAAATTCTTGTATGATGGACTTCTAACTGTCCTTTTTCTATACTGAAAGTTTCAAATTGTTCTCCTCGATAGTTCTTTGGAAAAGTATAAGAGTGCAAGAGGATGTTCCTATTTATATTAATTTTATTGGTCATTTTCATAGTCTAAGCTCAAGAACTGTTCATGTGGTTGTTGGATCCATTTGAAATTCTAGTATAATGGCCTTCTAACCTTCCTTTTTCTATACTGAAAGTTTCAAATTGTTCTCCTTAACAGGTCTTCAAATTCAAAGAAAAGCTTTTTGTTGCAGAAGTATCAATTTGGAAGTTAGAGAAACTGGTCGAATCTTAACAATGAGCTTAAATGACGTAACTGGTAAGTTTTTAATTTTCTTCTTGGTAAGAATTTGTTCTGTACTACATTGTGATTGGATGTTTTTTGGTTTAGGCAAAAATTCCTGTTGACAAGGGTAAAATAAATGTTTTTAAGACACACGTTGTAGCTTTAAAACTGCTAAGAACTTATACGATTTTATATCGGTTCTCTTAGTATAATACAAGCGAAAGCATACCAACTCCTAAAAAATCAAGTTGATTTGTGGCTCAATATTTTCAGTCTTACAAAGCAATGAAGTATGATTGAAATTCGATAATTGTCTAAGCCCAAAATGTATAAAAGTATAACGACCCAAAAAAGGTCGATGGCAAACCAAACCACTCTACTAATGACACAACTCTTTTATTATTTCAGTTTACGGTCAAGAGTCCATAAAACCTGATTCGGAGGAAGTTTAAAATTACCTTGTGTGTGTGTGTGTGTGTTATCCTATAAGGCAAAGTGGTCGCATACCTTAGAAAATTATTAGGCTCGATTTTTGAATCAATAACGTTTCTAGTTACTCAGGCAAAGTTCCCTTAAAACCTTCGGCTAAAGCAAATATGATAATCCCTTTAGAGTTTGAGGTCCTTAATCTATTATATAGAGGATATAATGCCAAACATAAAGGAAACTTGAATAATGCCCAGATTATCTCAACTGCGAGGTAATAATCTGAATCTCAAACATTAGACTGACGATGGGGCTCTGTTCCTTCAGCGCACCCCACCTTTGTGTGTCGCATTGCGTACACCCTATAACAAATTCGATATAGTTTTAAAATAGATTAGTCTAGACATTCAAAAATCGTTCGGAAAACTAAAATTAAACCCAGTTCCGGTGAATTAGAGGAGACGCGACAGAGCTTGAAATAGTAGTACTGCACTGGCTTTAGCAATCGGAAGCAATGAAAAAATAAAACTACATAGCGGCCAATATTAATCCATTGGAGCAAATTATATATAGCCGATGATTTATACGGTAACTGTATGTTAGTCTAGATTTCGCTACGAGATACCATAAGTATATCGAATAATGAAAATTTAGGGTAATCTTCGGCTCTAACTCAACAGTTTACAACTACCTACACGTTTTAATGGCCAATAAAGAAGTTTCTGATGTTTTTTTTTTTTTTTAATTACTGCGATGAGTTTTGTACACCGTCCACAGTGACATACGATATAGGTACCTACGACTTGACTATAAAATTAAGAATTCTAATGACGGATGATGTTTGTTGTGTGGAATTTTTGTAAAGTCTAGGAGATATTCAATCCCTAATCTATGAAAAAGTGGAAAACAGTAGTGATAGACTTGATGAAGTGAATCTAATAATGTCAGTGGGTATAGCGTTGCTGTAGTCTACCCCCACTATGTCTACTTTTAGACCAAAGTATGCTATCCTTTCAAAGTTTTCCAAAATCTAAATCATAAGGTAGGTAACTTCTTACTAAGTGGATGAAATTTCAATTTTTTTGTCGTTGAGATTTTGTGTCCTAATGGTCATTTGGGATCCCCCAAACTCCATACACTGAATTATTCTCAGATTTGAAACCAAAATCTACGAAAAAAGGCACTCAGAAAAATTGAAAAATTGATAAATCACCCCAAATTGCTTAACACGATTTTATCTCAGGAACTATAAGTGCAAATGAGTTGAAATTTTCAGGGATTGTAGTCCTCTACTGGAATAGAAATCGCTGAAAATTTCAGCTTTCTATCTTTAATAGAAAAAAAGTTATGACCTTTCAAAGTTTTCAAAAATCTAAATCATAAACCTAACCCAACTTAACCCAACTTAACCCAACTTGACCCAACTTAACCCAACCTAACCCAATTTAACCCAATTTAGCCTAACCCAACTAAACCCAACTTAACCCAACTTAACCCAACTTGACACAACTTAACCCAACTTAACCCAATTTCTCCCAATTTAGCCTAACCCAACTTAACCCAACTTAACCCAATTTAACCCAATTTAGCCTAACCCAACTTGACCCAACTTAACCCAACTTAACCCAACTTAACCCAATTTAACCCAATTAAGCTTAACCCAACTTAATTCCGGCCTCTAGCAGAAGTCGACCTACCGACTAAAGAAACCCCCTTCTATTAGTGTACCTGGAAACACCAAACGGCATACTTCAGGTGCTTGTTGTCTATGCCTCTATCTATCTTCAGTCTATTGGACCTGTTCGCGTTCCCGCTCTTCTGCGGCTTTCGCCTTCATAATTTCTTCAATCATGTTCGTTATTGCGTACCAATCCTCTGTTCTCCTGACCATCAGGTGCCCACATTTTCCTTGCTAATTTCCGCACCGCAAACTATCTCGGCCACTCTACTAATGTCTTCGAACTTTGTGCATTTAAACAGCGTGTGTTCTGGAGTGTCCTCCATAGGGCAGAACCAACATTCATCGCTGTCCCTCTTCCTTATCCTCTTTAAGTAGCTGTTGAAAACGCCATGCCCGGTCATCGACTGAGTGACGTAATAATTTACGTCCCCCCACTTCCTATCTAGCCACTTGTCTAGATCCGGTACAAAGTACTTGGCCCATCCCTGATAAGCCTGCCATCTCAGACTCCATTTGTCCCTTGAGTTTTGGCGTGCCTCCTGCCTGTATTCTCTACCTCTTGCATGTATGTCTGTTCTCTCTCTAGCCAGAATGTCTAGGGGCATCGTCCCCGCTATCACCTGTATTGCCTCCGTCGGCACCGTGCGGTAGGCAGACGCTATACTGATACACAGCTTTCTATTTACTTTTTCCAACATGTTCACGTATTTCCTGTGTTTCGTGGCTTTAATCCACGTGGGTGCCGCGTACAGTATCACTGACTGTACCGTGCTGGCTAGAAGTCTTCTCTTCGATGGTCGTGGCCCTTCGAATTTAGGGAGGATTCGATTTAGGCAGTTGATCATCGTGTTCGCTTTTTCCGTAATTTTTATTATATGTTTTGTCATCTTGAGATCTGTGTCAAGGTGGACCCCTAGGTACCTGACCGGGCTTGACGTTTCAACTATTTCTGTATCTATCATAATATCTAGTTCTCTGATCTTTCGTCTGCCTGCCAGGAGCACCATCTCTGTTTTGGCTGTTGCCACTTTGAGTCCCATATCGTTCAATCTGTTTATTACCTTAGCCACTGTAAATTGTGCTCTGTCCTCGAGCGTAGCTTTGTCTTTAGCCCTTATGGTTATCGCTAGATCGTCCGCATAGGCCACTATGTTCGCTTCTCTACCCAAATTCATTCTCAATATTTTATCGTAGAAAAGGTTCCACAGGATTGGTCCTATTATAGAGCCCTGTGGAACCCCGCAGGAGACCTTCACTGAATCCCCGGCTGGTGTAATTATGGTTCTATTACTTAAGTATGATTTGATGATCCTTATTAAATCCTTGCTTACGCCTCCTTTTGTCAGGGTGTCGATGATACCCTTCCACGGCACCGTGTTAAAGGCATTCTCTATGTCTAGGAGCACCATGACGCAGAACTCCCTGTTCTTACAGGCTTTCTCATTTATGTCCTCAGCTATTTTTTGTATTGTGCTCACGGCATCTATGGTAGATTTGCCTTTCTGGTATCCGAATTGGTGCTTGTTTATCAGGTTTTTCTCTTCAATTTCGGTCAACAGTCTTGTCTTTATTAAAATCTCTAGGAATTTTCCCCCTGTGTTTATCAGGCTAATCGGTCTGTAAGCCGGGAGTGCCCCCATGTTCTTCTTAGGCTTCTCGATGAGACATAGTTTTGCAACTTTCCAGCAGTCTGGGAAGATACCCTCTTCAAGACAGTTGTTATATATTTTAAGGAACAGTGGTGTGTCTTCTTCTATGCACGCTTTCAGCACTTCCGATGGGATGTTATCCGTGCCCCGGGCTTTCTTCTTTTTCAGGTCTTTAGTGGCTTCTTTTATATCCTTGGTCTTCCACTTCTTTATTTCTGCCCTTGTGATCATGTCTACGTCCCATATTGGCGCCACCCCCTTCGGGAATAGTTTTTCCACCTGTACATTCACAGTTTCCCTGCTGAGTGGGAGGTTTGGTCTCAGCTTGAGCCTTCTTGTCACCAGCTGATACCCTTTGCTCCATACACCCTCGTCCAGTTCATTGCATACCTCCCTCCATTTCTCTCTCTTGCTCTTCTCTATTGCTGCCCTCATCGTTTTTTTCGCCTCCTTGTGTTCAGTTCTTAATCTCTCGGCTGTCTCTCTATCGTTTCTCTTATTAGCTCTGCCAGCTTCCTCCTTAACTCAGTACACGTTTTCCTTTTGTTCGCAATCTCCATATTCCACCAGTAGACAGTTCCGTGCCTTTTCGGTCCAGCTTTCCTTTTCAGGAACCTCTCGTACATATCCGTTATTAGTGAGGTAACACTATCCGCATTCATGTTGGCTCTGTCCATGGCTTCTACTGAGAAAGCTCTCGCCATCGCCGCTAGTCTGTCCGGTATCAGTTTCCATCTGATCCTGTCTTCGGCCTGATTTTCCTCTAGCTTGGTTTTCTTCCCAGGTGTCACGTCTATGTCCCATCTTATGGTTTTATGGTCGCTCATGTTCTCGGCGTCTGTGAGAACCTTCCACTCCTTAACGCCATTTGCCAAGTTTTCAGATACTGCTGTGAAGTCAATTACTGATTTAGAGGCCCCCCGTACGAAAGTAGGCGTGCCTTCTTCATTCATTGTAATAAGGGTATTTGCCCCCAACCAGTCCTCTAGGAGACCTCCCCTTTGGTTTCTTTCTGTGGACCCTATTGCCGGTGTTTTGGCGTTTAGGTCCCCTCCTA